TATGGGGCCACGAACCGTTTGGGGGGCGCGCCGAAATGCGTGGCGGGGTACACCGCGCGAACACAGGCGATCGGTCTGACTGCGAGAGACTGAGAACGGGGGGGCCTGAGCACGAGCGCGTCTGATTGTGAGCGAGTCTGCGTACTCATCCGTCCACGCGCATGAGTGTCGACGGCCATGTTGGCGCGCTCCTCGCGAGGATTTCGCCCGGTTCCTTCCCGTTTTTTTTTTTTTTCCTTCTGTGCCCGTGCACGCCGATGTTGTGGGCGGGGGCCTTCGGTGGAGCTCCCCATGGGGCCGCGAACCGTGTGAGGGGTGTGCCAAAATGGGCCTGCGGTGGGCGGGGGGGGGCGGCGCATGCGAACTGTGCCATTGGGGCCTTCGGTGGGGTTCCCCATGGGGCCGCGAACCGTGTGAGGGGTGTGCCAAAATGGGCCTCCGGTGGGCGGGGAAGACGCATGCGAACTGTGCCATTGGGGCCTTCGGTGGAGCTCCCTATGGGACCACGAACCGTGTGAGGGGTGTGTCAAGGGCCTGCGGTGGGCGGGGAGGACGCCTGCGAATGTGCCACTGGGGCCTTCGGTGGAGCTCCTGATGGGGCCACGAACCGTTTGAGGGGTGTGCCAAAATGGGCTTGCGGTGGGCGGGGAGGACGCATGCGAACTGTGCCACTGGGGCCTTCGGCGGAGCTCCCTATGGGGCCACGAACCGTGTGAGGGGTGTGCCACAATGGGCTTGCGGTGGGCGGAGGAAACATGCAAACGAACTGTGCCACTGGGGCCTTTTTGTGAGCTCCTAAGGGGCCACGAACCGTGTGAGGGTGTGTGCCGGGGAGGAAAATTGGCCTGTTGCGGCCAAAATGGCCTTGCGGTGGGCGGGAGGACGCATGCGAGCTGTGCCACTGGGGCCTTCGGTGGGGTTCCCTATGGGGCCACGAACCGTGTGAGGGGTGTGTGCCAAAATGGGCCTCGGGTGGGCGGGGACGACGCATGCGAACTGTGCCACTGGGGCCTTCGGTGGAGCTCCCTATGGGGCCACGAACCGTGTGAGGGGTGTGCCAAAATAGGCCTGCGGTGGTCGGGGAAGACGCCTGCGAACTGTGCCACTGGGGCCTTCGGTGGAGCTCCTGATGGGGCCACGAACTGTGTGAGGGGCGTGCCAAAATGGGCCTGCGGTGGGCGGGGAGGACGCATGCGAACTGTGCCACTGGGGCCTCCGGCGGAGCTCCCTTTGGGGCCACGAACCATGTGAGGGGTGTGCCAAAATGGGCCTGCGGTGGGCGGGGAGGACGCATGCGAACTGTGCCACTGGGGCCTTCGGTGGAGCTCCCTATGGGGTCACGAACCGTGTGAAGGGTGTGTCAATGTGCCCAAATGGGCCTGCGGTGGGCGGGGAGGACGCATGCGAACTGTGCCATTGGGGCCTTGTGTGGAGCTCCCTATGAGGCCACGAACCGTGTGAGGGATGTGCCAAAATGGGCTTGCTGTGGGCGGGAAGGACGCCTGCGAACTGTGCCACTGGGGCCTTCGGTGAAGCTCCTTATGGGGCCACGAACCGTGTGAGATGTGTGCCAAAATGGGCCTGCGGTGGGCGGGGAGGACGCATGCGAACTGTGCCATTGGGGCCTTCTGTGGAGCTCCCTGTGAGGCCACGAACCGTGTGAGGGGTGTGCCAGAATGGGCCTGTTGTGGGCGGGAAGGACGCATGCGAACTGTGCCACTGGGTTCTTCGGTGCAGCTCCCTACGGGGCCACGAACCGTGTGAGGGTGATGGTGATGGGAGGGGAGGAGGGGGAGGAGGAGAGGAGGAGGTGGGACGCGGGGCGCTGTCTCTTCAAAACGAGGACCCAACACCACAGGATGGCTGGGAAAAAGTTTAGGACGCCCTGCCAAACGTGCCCGTGCCTTGTAAACTGTTTAATCATTTGCTAAAAGGCGGGCCCCCCGTAAATCTACTTTTTTTTCGCGGCGCGAGCGTGTGAAATATGTACAACGCAAACGCACTCATATTAGATGTGCGTCCTCCACGCATGGGCGACGCGCGCGTTCGGAAATCTTCAAATTGTGCGCTCCTTGGCGGGTGCTTTCTGGCCATGCCGTTCGGTAAGACGGAAACGATGCACCTAAACTAGTTGTGTGCTAGATGTTCGTGTCGGACGTGCGCGTCCAGCATCAGCAGAGTGCACGCCAGTCGTTGACAACAGGTATTTCTGGATTCCCACATCCCAATCTACTTCAAGCGCCTTCGTACTTCAAGAGTCGACCTGTTTTGTTGTTTCGTTGTCAATTTTTGAGCGGGCCCGGCTCAATCTACGTGATCCGCTTTCCTATTTTATGTTTCCTACTTTTTCCGACTGGCGAAAACTGGTCGGAGGTTGGGGGGTCAGATCGCATTGGAACGGAGAGCCCCCCCCTGGAAGTCGGCGCGCGAGAGGAAAAACCGCGACGCCGCTAGGGCGATTCTGACGCAGTGGACCGCCCCTCCGCCACCAGAGGGCGCGCGGTGGCTTGGGGTGTCCCCGCCGTGGTGTCCCATGTCCCGCGAACGTTCGTGTTGATGCGTGTTTTGCTCCTCCAGGCTCGGGGCGGGAGGCGCGGTCCCCGCACAGCTCTGCGGAGCAAAGCTCGAGCGGCTCGGAGGGCGCGCTCGGCAGCTCGGGAAGGGCGAGGCGGACGCGTCCTCGAGGGAGGCGTCGAGGTTTCGAGGACTGTGTTCACTCTCCTGTCGGCGGTGAGCGAGGGGGGGGAATGAGAAGGCGAAGGCCTTCTCAGAAGGCGGCGGGTCTTCTCAGAAACCCTCGCGCCTTCTGAGAGGTTTTCCGTGTCCAGGAGGAGGAGGAGGGGGAGGGGACATCCGAGCCTTCTGAGAAGGCCCGCCCCCTCTCACTTCCCCCTGGGCTCGCCGCTGATCCTGGACATGTGCACGTCGAGAGTACATTCGCGACGGGAGATTTTTTGCCGTTTCGGACTCTGGAGGCCTTCGCCGGTCTTCGGGACCGTCAAGACACGATTCGGGATGAAAAACTGGCCCTGTGGAGAGGGTTGGGACTTGGGGGGACCCTGTATACATACCGAGACATCAGATCTCATCAGATCTTTGTCGCATGTGTAATGCCGTTGCCCGCCCGTCAACATGTTAAGAGTTTCGATCTTAGGATCGCTCTTATTGTCGACCTGCATCTCGCAGACGCCTGCGGAGATGTTCCGCCGCCGCCACAGTCTGGCCAAGCTGTTGGATTATTTGTTACCCCGGTCGTTGTGGAAGCCTTGGGGGATCTCTGGGTGGGTGAGGGAGAGAGGGAGACATCTTGGTGTATGTATGCATGCATACATGTATGTGTGTATGTATGCATGCATGCATGCATGCATGCACACATGCATACACGCATGCATGCACACGTGTACGTATATATGTGCGTATGTAGATTTGTATGTATGTATGTATGTATGTATGTATGTATGTATGCATACATGTATGTATGTATGCATGTATGTGTGTATGCACGTATGTATGTATGCATTTATGCATGCATCCATGTATCCATGTATGTATACATGCGTACATGCATGCATATAATGTCTGTATGCGTGTATACATACATGTAAATATGCATGTATGTGCCTATGCATGCATTTATATATGTACGTATGTACGCATGCATGCATGAATGCAGGCATGCCGGCAAGTCTGTACGTATGCATGTACATCTGTATTTATGCATGCATGCATGCATGTATATAGTTGTCTTCATATAAAAGCGTGTATATGCATGTTTATGTATGTAGACACACATGTGTATGTATGCATGTAGGTGTGTGTGCATGCATGCATGCATACATCTATGTATACAGTTATGCATGCACGCATGTATGCATGTACGTATGCATGTAGGTGTGTATGCATATTTATACACATTTATACACACTGTTAATGTATGTTCACACACATACATTTACACACCAGACCATATATCGCGAGAGAGCGAGGGATACTTTATATACGTATATATATATATGGGAGCGGGAGAGAGAGAGGGAGAGAGAGTTATAGGTATACTATACATATGTATATACATATGTATATATACACATACATGCATACATACATACAGAGCGGGATAGAGGGAGAGAGAGAGAGAGAGCGATATTGATGTTTTTTATTTATACATATGTACACAGAGAGATATACTGATATATAGAGAGAGAGAGAGAGAGAGAGAGAGAGAGAGAGAGAGAGAGAGAGAACGAGAGAGAGATAGAGAAAGAGATAAACGAGAGAGAGAGAGAGAGAGAGAGAGAGCGAGAGAGTGAGAGGCAGAGAGAGACAGAGATAGAAAGAGAGAGAGAGAGAGAGAGAGAGAACAAGGGAGAGAGAGAGAAGAGGATTAGGAGAGCTAGGAGAAGGAAGACGAGGAGGGGAAGGAGGAGGCCTCTTGGGGAACTCTTGGGGCCTCGTGTGAACTTCCTTGGGCCGTTTTGGCCGATCTCAGAGGCCTCTTGGGACGTAATAGTACACATGCTCCAGGTTCTTGAATGATTCTGATCGATCACTGGGTTCCCCCCCTCCCCCCCTCCCCTCCCCCCCCATTCCCTCCATGCATGGCCTCCAAAGCGGCCCCCAAAAAGGCTCCAGGACGGCCCCTTTGTCTTAGGGCATGCCATGGTCACGATGCCCTGGAGAAGTTGCGATGCAATTTCCAGGCGCGCCCAACCGCACCCGAGAGCGCACCGAAATCCCTGGAGCTCGGGGGTCTGTGCCCCTGAGAGAGCGCTTACAGTGGAGACCCATGCCAAGAAACACCCTGCTTGCCTCCAGGGTGTCCTGGGGTCTTAGGGTTAGGTTCATTGTGGAAGGTGTCTTGTGGACTGGCCTCCACTGTATAGCCCTCCGAGCAGCGAGCTCGAAGGGACCAGAGGACTCCACTTCATGCCTCGCGGCGCTGTGGCGCATCTCAGACACTGTAGCTAGAATCAGTCATGCATTCAGGGACGCTAGTCCGTCGAGACATTCGTGCTCGCATCACAGGGCTCCCACCTCGTAAGAAGGAGCTTTTTTGGCCTGATTGTCTTGCATGGGTAAGGAAGGATTCACAGTGCTGCGCTACGGGAACTTCTTGTCGACCCATGCTCTCGACAAAGATGTGTGAGAAAGCACACCAAAGCGACATTCGAGCAGATCTGACCTTGGCAAGTCGACAGTCCTGAGAGCGCACCCGAATCTTCCCGGCCCCTCCATGAGGGATCCAACCCAGCAGCCCAGACGCGCCCCTTGCTCGCCCAACGGGTGCTCACTTCCCTTACTGGCCTCCGCAGGACGCGTCGGACAGCTCGTCCTCCAGCGATGTTGTGGGTTCCAGCCTGGGACGGACCCCGGCCAGAGACGCGGACCCTGCTGGGGCTCGGGAGGCGGTGACCCTGACCGACGGCTCGGCACGGGAGGGGCACCCGCGCTCCACGAGTGAGCCCGCGGCTTCGGCAGCACGCGCCGCGGCCAGTCCGCGGCCTTCGCCTGGCTCCTCGGAGCACGACTCGTGCGGCGGGAACGGCGCGCTCAGTGACGCGGACCGCACCGCAAGCGCGGAGCCGGCCTCGCCAGGGGCGCGGGAGACCTGGTCTCCGTGGGCATTAGCGCGGTCGGAGCCGTCGCCAGGAGCCTTGGAGGGGTGCATCCCGGAGGCCAATTGCGGTGAGGCGCTCAGCTCCCAGGGTTCGGAGCGGAGCGTACAGCGGACGGAGCGGAGCGTACAGCGGAGCGCGCAGGAGGCCGAGGAGGAGGAGGAGGCCGAGGAGGAGGAGGAGGAGGAGGCTGAGGAGGCGGAGGAGGAGGCCGAGCCCGCCCTTCAACAGGGCATCGCTGCTCCCCCGCCGTCGCTGCGGCAGGCAGGTGGTGGCACGCCGCGTGACGCCCGCTGCCGTGGGGCCGAGGGCCCTGCGGTCGCGGAGCCGCCGTCGCCCACGCCGCCCGCGCTGCGCGGCGACCCGGGGCCCGCGGAGCCGCCGGAGCCCGCCGGGGCGCCCGCGGAGCGCTGCGCGGGGCCGGCAGAGCGCGCGTGGCCGGCGCCCAGCCCCTCTGCGGCCCGTGGCGCGGGCTCGGCGAGCCCGCGCGCGCGGGCCGCCCCCACGGGGCCGGGGCGCCGCTGGCCCGCGCGGGGGCGGCCCGCCGAGGCGGGGCCCGGCCTGGCCGCGCGGAGGGCTGCGGTGCAGGAGCTGCTGCGGGAGCTGCGCGTGCAGGCGGAGTGCATCTCTGGCCTGGAGGCGCGGGTGCGGGACAGCGACGCGGCCACCTGGGCACTGCTCGAGGAGGCTGGGCGGCACGCGCGGGAGGAGGGCGCGGCGGGGCCGGGGCGGGGCCTGTGCGGCACGGCGGGCGGGCAGCGCACAGCTTCTGTGAGGGCTGGCGCAGGGGGTCAAAACACGAGGAGGCCACCGCGACCGCTCAGGCAGCAGCGCATCTCAGCATCGTCCAACCGATCCCCCTCCCCACTGGGCCATGTCATCTCAGTCCCGCCAGCCCAGCGCCCACAGGTGGGGATAGGTTCCGCGAGACCAGAAGAGAGAACAGCATACATCCCCACCTAGGGGGGCAAATCGGCCAGTGTGGTCAAGGCCTTGCCAGTGGGGATGGGGATCGGCTAAGCGATACTCAGATAGATTGGGCGTTGCGCGCAGATGCGTCGAGGGGCCGTTTCTCTCTTGGACTTGGTACTTGCTTTTTTGGGCCAGCGGGGGCCTCGTCGCCGTGGTCTGGATCCAGCTCCAGACGCCGACGAGGTTGCTGTCCTGGAGGGGAGCGAGGGGTACATTGCTGCACGCGTGCGCAGAGGCAGGAGGCTTGAAAAGGTGGCGCATGCAGAATGTGATTGAAGATGTCGTCGAGGGAAGAATCACGATGACAACGATCAAGATTCGGCGGCGAGCCTGGGGCGGAAGCGAGAGGGGGCGGGCCTTCTTGGCAGGCGGCAGGGCTTCTCAGAAGCCCTCCCGAGAGGTTTCTAAGCCTTCTCCGAAGGCAGAGGCGGCTTCTCAGAAGGTCGGATGGCTCCTTCGAAGCTCCGCCGCCTTCCGAGAAGGCCTGCCCCTTTTCACCTCCCCTCCGCGCGCGCCGCCGAGAGGTGTCGCGGGACCTCGTCGTCGCCGATCTTGGTCGGGATCCATGCCTGCCGTCGCCGAGCCGCGAGGATGATCCACGAATCGACGATGACCAGCATAGACTACGACCTAGATCGACACCGACCTTTCTCCGCGTTCAGCCTTGGTCATGGTCACCGTTTTCTTTCCTTTTCGATGAGGCCGATGTCCAGGCGGGGAGCGGGGGTTCTATCTTTGGACGTGTGCGCAGAGGCAGGAGGCTTGAAGTGGTGACGCATGCAGAACGTGACAACATATGTAGTTGAAGGAAGAAGCGCGATGACAACAATCAAGACCTCGCGGGATCTCGTCGATGCCGATCTCGGGTAGGGCCCATGCTTGCCGTCGCCGATTCGCGAGGATGATCCACGAATCGACGAGGACCAGGATAGACTACGACCAAGGTCGACACCGACTTTTCCGCGTTCAGCCTTGGTCATGGTCACCGTTTTCTTTCTTTTTCGATGAGGCTGATTTCCAGGCGGGGAGCAGGGGTTCTATCTTTGGACGTGTTCGCAGAGACAGGAGGCTTGAAGTGGTGACGCATGCAGAACGTGACAACATATGTAGTTGAAGGAAGACACACGATGACCATGATCAAGCTCTCGCGGGATCTCGTCGACGCCGATCTTTGTCAGGGTCCATGCTTGCCGTCGCCGATTCGCGAGGATGATCCATGAATCGACATGACCAGGATAGACTACGACCTAGATCGACACCGACTTTTCCTCGTTCAGCCTTGGTCATGGTCACCGTTTTCTTTCCTTTTCGATGAGGCTGATTTCCAGGCGAGGAGCGGGGATTCTATATTTTTGGACGTGTGCTCAGAGGCAGGAGGCTTGATGTGGTGACGCATGTATAGCGCGATCAGATTTCAGACGGCCTGAGTGGAATGGCGCTTCTAAGAGGATGGTGACGGGCGGTCCTTGCCACGGGTGTTACTGTGAATGCCTGCTTGCTGCCCCTGCGACATGCCACCGCGGCGATACTTTGTGCAGGTTTGTTGATGGGCCTGTTTTCCACCACCACCACCATAAGTTGGATGGGGGAAGGAGGAGGAGCACGAGGAGGAGGAGGAGGACGAAGAGGAGGAGGAGGAGAAGAGGAGGAGGACCCCCTCCCCCTCCAACTTCTGGTGGTGCTGGTGGTTGTGGAGAACAGGCCCATCATTTGTCCCTCATCCAGCTGCTCCTGGACGTTGCTGTCATTTTCCCGCTGCCTGAAAATCGTTGTGGCCATCCGTGGGCGCGCGCCATCGGGGGACCGTCGCGGACTTGCCGTGGCGCTCGCCGCGGCGGTCGCAACTGGCAGTACTTCCACGCCAGCCCTTGCAGTTGTCGATGTTGGGACCCCTCTCTCCGAGACTTGGCTCGGGCCGCCGCGCGCAGGGAGCTCCCGCGGGGCGATGGTAGCGGCTGGGTCCAGTGCTCCGCGGGCACCCTGACATCCTGGAGGCCCTTGCCTTTCCTCTTCCTCCTCCTCCTCCTCCTCCGCCTACTCCTCCTCTGCCTCCCTCCTCCCTCCTCCCTCCTTCCTCCTCCCTACTCCCTTCTCCTCCTCCTCCTCCTCCTCCTCCCATCTCCTCCCTCCTCCTCCTCCCTCCTCCTCCTCCTCTCCTCCTTCCGCCTCCTCCCTCCTCCTCCTCCTCCTCCTCCTCCTCCTCCTCCTCCTCCTCCTCCTCCTCCGCCTCTTCCTCCTCCAGAGGCCCTTGCTTCTCGAGATGGGCGGGGCTGCCGCTCCGGCGGGAGCGTCGGGCCGTGGTTCCTTAGGGAGGAAGGGTGCGGTGCGGCTCGCACGGGCGCCCCCCCAGGCGAGCACGACCACGCCCAGCAGATGCAACAGCGCGCCCCCCCAAATCATACTAATGCTAATAGTGGTAATAAAAAGAATAAACATCACCATATTCATAAGAATACGAAGAAGCGTGAGGACACTGCGCGAGGCACCGAGAAGCCCCTGAGGGCGCCGCGAAGGCGTGGCAAGCTGGCTGAAGCCCCCGGGGAGCCTGGTCAAGTCTTGGGAGGCCCCAGGGGAGGCGTCGGAGGCTTTGGGAGATCTTATCACCGAGCGCGTTCCACTACTCGCAAAGTGCCTACACATGTCCGCTTTGATGTAATTTATCGTAGATCCTCCGCGGGGGCTCCAGGCCATTTGCGTGTATTTCTTTGCGATTAGTGGAACGCGCTCGTCTATCTTGCGACGCTCTGGGAGGCTCCAGGGAAGTCCCTGAGGTGCACTCGCGGGGATGACCGAGAGAAGGGGGGGGGGCGGAGGTCTTTTCTGGGCGGTCTGGCGTCGAGAGCCAGCTTATGACACCAGCGCCTCGCTTCGACCCCCAGTCTGTGCTGTGTCTGATTGGTTTTGGCATAAAGCGGCTCGGAGGGAAGCATCATCGCCCACGTCCGCGCGGTTATGCTTTAGATCACCCGCGGGCGCGAGACGATCATCGCGCTTCGCACGCAGCGGTCTGGGCTTCGTCGCGCGTCGCCCATCATGGGGCGCGATGCGCGAAGTTAGGTGACTAGGTGCTCGGTTGCTGGGATGTCGGAATTCCGCCGTCGTTCCGCGGCATTGCCAGAGTGCGATTCCGATTCACGCCGTCGATGAATGGGGGTCACCGCGCTGTTGCGGCAGGCGGCGGACGCGCCAGACACTTCCTGTCCGGCTGTCCGACTTCCTGCTGGTTGGTAAGGGTGTGTTGGACGAGGAACTGTCGCCATGAAGGAACGGGTCCTGAGGGAGAAGGGTCCTGAGTTTTTTCGCCGTTTTGGTCTTCCCAGGGCCCTCTGCGGGCGCTGGGACGTTCAGAAAACGATTCAGGACGAAGAACTGGTCCTTGGGGAAGGCCTGGGGTCTTGCCAGGATTGGTCTTGAGAACGGGCGCTTCCCACTTGTGCAGCTCCTGGGCCACGGGGGGGGGGTGCGGGCGTTCGGTGGCAAATCGTGGGAGCCTTGTAGGTCCTCGCAGTTCTTTGTGGTGCATTAGCGTGCGCCCCCGTATGATCATCGATGAGACAGCGCCGATGCAGCGTCGGTTCAGAGCCGATCTGGCGCCGATGAGCGTCGACTAGCGTCGGTCAGCGTCGATCGCGCAAGAGCCAGCAAGATGGCTCCCGCGAGGCCAGCGTCGGTTCGCGTCGGCCAGCGTCGGTTGGCGTCGGAGGCTCCCGCGAGCTGCCAGATGATGATGATGATGATGATGATGATGATGATGATGATGATGATGATGATGATGATGATGATGATGATGATGATGATGATGATGATGATGATGATGATGATGATGATGATGATGATGATGATGATGATGATGATGATGATGATGATGATGATGATGATGATGATGCTGATGATGATGATCATGATGATGACGATGATGACGATGATGACGATGATGATGATGATGATGATTGATGATGATGATGAGATGATGAGATGATGATGGATGATGAGAGATGAGGAGGGGAGAGAGGGGAGGAGGAGGAGGAGGAGGAGGAGGAGGAGGGAGGAGGAGGGAGGAGGAGGAGGAGGGAGGAGGAAGGAGGGAGGGAGGAGGGAGGAGGAAGAACTGTCAGCATAAGTCACCGGAGGTAGCCTGTGAATACTTTTAGCCAATCTGACAGAGACTACGTTCTCGATGCGAAAGAAGTTACTGATGAGGTACTGGAGAGCTGCATGTACTTTAGGAGAGTCTGCTTGCACCCGTCATCTGGAACACTCCCTTCCTGGGTGGAAGAAGGGAGGAGGAAGGAGGAAGGAGGGAGGAGGGAGGAGGGAGAACGGAGGAAGGAGGAAGGAGGAAGACGGTGGAGGAAGGAGGAAGGAGAGGGGAGGAAGGAGGACGGAGGCAGGAGGCAGGAGGAAGGAGGAAGGAGGAAGGAGGAAGGAGGAAGGAGAAAGGAGGAAGGAGGACGGAGGAAGGAGGAAGGAGGAAGGAGGAAGGATGCAGGAGGCAGGAGGCAGGAGGCAGGAGGCAGGAGGAAGGAGGAAGGAGGAGGAGGAAGGAGGAAGGAGGAAGGAGGCTGGAGGAAGGAGGAAGGAAAAAGGAGGAAGGAGGAAGGAGTAAGGAGGAGGAAGGAGGATGGAGGAAGGAAGAAGGAGGAAGGAGGAAGGAGGAAGGAGGAGGAGGGAGGAGGAGGAGGAGTAGGAGGAGGAGAAGGAGAAGGAGACGGTGAAGGAACAGGAGGAGGAGAAGGAGGAGGCGGATGAGGAAAGGATCGCAGGTCAGCACGATGGGTCACCCGATGGAGCTCACGGAGGAGATGCGTACCATAGGTGGCAAGGTGATCATCATGAGCGAGCAGCACCTGCAGGGTGAATACCAGCTAACCGAGAAGTGCGGCGCCTGGGTCACGAAGGTCGAAGACTCCATCACAATGGCAGAGCAGTTTGACGAGCAGTAAGCAGCCTCATGCAAGGGGCGAGCGGCTGGCTTTGGAGTCATATGGATACGGGCCAAGCCGACACCAGGACGTACGCACATGAGATTCGGACCAGCAGAAGAGTGGATCATCCTTGCGGCCGATATGAAAAGGTACCACTCACTGTTTGTGAACGGCACAGATGGCAAACAGCAGAGGATGTCCATCACTCGTATCAAGAAGCAGCTGCAGGTGATCAGCAAGATGCCGCAGGAGAAAGTGCTCAGTAAGCACGTCCCGATCACCAGCAGCAGCATGCACTTCGAGATGGCAGGATATATTTATGAATTGGACGAGGGGCAGCTGGCGAGGCTGGTTGACCAGACGGAGGGGCATTTGGCAACGGCATCGTCCCGATCGATGGCGACGGCAAGGAAGAGTTTCGCGACCTGGGCGAAGACAGCATGACAAACGAAAGCGGGAATGCTGCACAGACACGCGAAGCCGAGGGAGGCGCCCAGGTTCTAGATGGCTCTCAGACCTGAGTTCGCGACGGCAGACCCCACCATCATAATGAGTGAAAATGCTAAGGAGTGGGAGAGCATCTGGACTGACCCCGTGGACGAGAGGAAGCACACGATCGAGCAGCTGGAGTGCGCCAGGCGACGTGCACTGATGGGGGACCTGGACCCAATTGACATGGATATGCTCAACGATGCGCTGAGGGCGACGTCGGCATCCAAAGCGAAGGGCCTGGACCAGCTGAGCCCCACAGACATCGACAGACTTCCCACGGTGGCAAAGGCAGAGCAACTGGATATCATCGCTGAGTGTAAGAGACATTTGGCATGGCCACGTCAAATTTCGGCAACCAAATGTGCGATTGTTCCCAAGCCTGTCCCTGCTAGAGGAGATCGAGTCCTGGGAATGCTACCTTTACCAGTGAAGTTATGGTCGAGAGCGCGTGGCGATGTTTGCTCAATGTGGAGTGCTGGACTTTCAGACCATTGGGACACAGCGGTAAAAAGCAGCTCGGCGCTCCGCGCTGGATTGCTAAGAGCAGTACTAGATGAGGCGGGCATCGAGATCGGCGCGTCGGCCATGACATTATTGTTAGACATAGAGAAGTTCTACGACACGGTGTCCCTAGTTATTTAATCGCTTCGCTCATTCCGCCGGCCCGTATTGTGCCATCGCAGGCGTTTGTTTGCGCGTTCGTGGCCTCTTGGAGCCTCGGTGGGGCCGTTTGGGGCCTCTTGGCGCTTCTTTTTAGGTCTCTTGGAGAACTCGGGAGGCCTCCAGGGGGCCTCCTGAGCTCTCGTGACGGTCTCTTGGGGGGCTTTCGGCGGGCTCTTGGCGGTATTTGTTGGTCCTCTTGGGGCCTGGGGCCTGACGTTGTTGGTCCTCTTGGGGCCTCACGGGAGCTTATTGGGGCGTCTTGGGGGTGTCTTGGAGAGTCTCTTGGGGCCTCTTTCGGGGTCCTGGGCGCCTTCTGGGGCGGAGGGCTCGATTTTTCAGTTCTCGGTTCCCTTCTTGAGCCCCTCTTGGGCCCGTCTTGGGGCCTCTTGGTCCGCCTTGGGCAGCACTTGGGCCGTCTGGGGGGCGCTCTTGGGCCGCTCCGGGGCCGTCTTGGGAGCCTCGTGGGCCGTCTTGGAGCAGTCTTGAAGGCCTCTTGGGCCCTCTTGGAGCGTCCGGAAGCGAAAAGGCCAGAACGCAAAACAAACATCGAAAAAACCAATGAAAATCAACGATTTTGGCAACTTGGGGCCCTCTTCGGAGGCCTCTTGGAAGGCCCTTGGAGCGTCTTGGAGGCCTCTTGGGCTGTCTTGGGGCCATCTGGGGCGTCTTCGGGCGATCTTTGGCCGTCTCGGGCCTCTCTTGGACCGTCTAGAAAGCTTCTCGGGGCCCTCTTGGACCGATCTGGAGCCCTCTTGGACTCCGAAACAGAACTCCGGCATCTCTGACCCGACCTTGCCGGGACCTTGCCGGGGACTTGCCGGGGACTTGCCGGGGACTTGCCGGGGCCCTGCCGGGGTGCTTTTCGTCCGGGGACCCCCAGGGGCCGCCCCGCGCGCGCGAACTAGAAATACTGTTAACCAGGCGCCGGAGATCTTAGCACGCCCTGGCCCGTTGGGCCGGCGAAATTTGATGCAGATAGCATGCAGATCAGGTTTCCCAGCAGTTGCAGTTGGGTTAGAGGCAGTTGCGTTCCTCGGGCCGCGTTATTTGCAGGAACGCGCCATCATCAGCGAGGCGATTTTGCCCTCTAGGTCGCTGGTGGCAGGGTCGGCTCGAGGGGCCACGCTGGCCAAACTATTTCTTCATCCAGTGCTGGAGCTCGCCCACAGACGAACACCCTCAGTAGGATTGTGGACATTCGTGGGCGACGCGGTGGTGGGATGCGAGGGCAGTGCGAACGTGGTGGGCGAGCAGCTCCTAGAGGCCTCCATTGATATTTGCACCGGAGTGCCGCAGCAGCGGACGACAATTTCAGAACCGCGGTTGTAGGCTCCGACTTGAAGGAAGCCAAGAAGATAGCCCAGCGATTGCGACGGCGAGGAATACCGGCTAAAGCCAACGGGGTTGCAATGGACCTCGGACTGGACGCGGCTGGCGGCAGGGGGCAGGTCACCGCCAGGAGCAAGCAGAGACAAGTTCAAGCTCGCAAGAGGTTTGGCATAATCGTCGAGCTCAGGATAATCGCGGCGCTGAAGAAGGAGTCCAAGGGCCTCTACAACACAGGGGCGCTGCCGCAGGCGATCTACGGCCAGCGGGCGTTCGGCGTGTCCAAGCATGAGATCGCCGTGCTGCGCAGACAGGCGGGCAAAGTAGCTGGGGGCAGAGCAGGAGGTCGATGCCTGACGACGTTGGGCATGGAACTGGGCCTTAAAGGCCCTGCGGTGGACTTGCGCCTTGGAGTGCTACGCGAGTGGGCAGGAATGTGTCAGAATTTGCCTCGCATTCACCGACGAGCGGCAAAGGCGTGGCCAGCCAGCAAGGCGATATTGCACAAGCTAGGAACGACGATATGGCGAGCAGTACGAGGCACCGCAGGCGCGCTCATATCGACGCCTATGGACGGAGGATGGATACCTACGACGGCTACCTGTTGGCATCGACCTGGAGCGGAAGAGATGGAGTTGTGGGAGCTGCCGACCTCTGAGGACGGCATCATTGTCGCCGCGGGCTGCTTCCAGGGGCTGCTAGATGATTTCGAGGCCGATTTGAGGTGCGACATTTGGACAGAGGCGGCGAAGCACGAGCACGGGGGCAACCTCGAGGAGGGCGGCGACCTGCGGCCGATTGTCAGGCGGTTCGAGCGCAAGGGGATGCTCGATCAGCTGGCGCTCGACGTGACCGTTGTTGATGGCGGCCAGTGGCCCCGGGTCCACTGCAGAGAAACAAGGATGCGATGTGCCAGAGGTTGGTCCCAGGTGCCAGGACGCCCGTGAAACCTTGAAGCGCAGAATTTGGGAATGTTTTAGGAACGCTGAGCACGAAGACCCCCCTCCCCCCCCCACCCCTCCTCCCTGCTCGCCTCGCTCGCTCCCTCTTCGATGGCGGGCGGCTGGAGGGGCGGGGGCTTAGATGGGGTGGGTGGGTGGGTGGTTGGGGGGGGGGGGGCTTCGAGGCCTCCCGAGGAGTATGGCGACGGCTCGGGGGTATAATTTCGGGCGGCTCCAGGCGAAGACGATGTGGGTCGGCGATTTGCTCCCTGAGATGGTCCCGGGGTGAATGGATTGTGCAAGCTGCTGTTTCACGACCCCTCCCCGGAGCCCGCCAGACCGCCCCTCGCTCCGAGATCCAGGCTTTCTGTTTGGCCCTGGAAGAGGTGCCATAATCGTTCTGTTTATAACTGATCACTTGCCGGTGGCTCGTAAGTGGCGCTGTAAGATGGAGCGCCCCAGCCTGGCAGGGGCTAATGAGGATTTGTGGGCCAGGGCCCGTGGGGCCTGGCGTCTCATGCCAGATGCCGCCACCGTGGGGGTGCAGTGGGCTCCCTCTCGCACGGATGAATCCCCAGGAGTTGCTGGTGACAGACTGGCAGCTGGATGTTATAAAGGGCAATGCCGCTGTTGATATATGGGCGAGGGAAGGGGGCGGAGCTGGCTTGGGAGTTCGGGCTGGTTGGGGGGACCCCTCAGACGGATCGGATCGATGCCGCTTCCAGCCTGTTGTGGCGACGCGCCAGACGAGCGCTAGCTGATTCGGCCAGCGCAGAATCTCAAGTCAGAGGCGAGAGAGCGGCCGCCCTGCAACATGCATACCAGAGCTGTCAAGGAATCGGCCCGCCAGCTCGAGATGTCTGGCTCGGGCTGGAGGTGCGCGGAGTGCGATCAGGTGGTGCCAGGTTCCAAGTTCCCGCTTTGCGGCCTCACCATGCGCTGGAAAGACCATCCCAGAGGGCACTGGGCCGCCTGAAGTGCAGCAGGCTGCCCAGTCTTTTGTTGCGGGAGCCCTCGAGCTTCATGGGTCGCGCGCGATGGCCTGGGTGGACACTTTGTTCATGTATGTTTGCAGTAATTAAGTGTGGCCGCTTCGCAACTGTAGACGACCGACGCATGCAGATTCGTTGTGGAGGTAGGACCCCCAAAGGGGTTGATGACTTCAGTAGAATTAGGAAGGGGCTTTATCCTAGGAGGGCGGGGCCACCGCGGGCGGTCGTGGAGGCCATGGCGGCGCGGGGGCGCGCGAGAGGCGCGTCGCCGAGTGGCCCGCCCGCGGAGTTTCAGGGTGCCCCCCCTCCCTGTCCCCCGCCGCCCCCCCAGCTGGCTCAGCCCGTGGCGAGTTCCATGGGGGCGAGCCTGTGCAGCAGCAGGCGCGACGCGAGCGTCTGCGCGGAGCTCGGGCCCCCCGCGAACGCGCGCCTGCTGCTGGGGGGGGGGGGGCGGTGGGGAGGGCTGTTTTGTCTTCAGTCGTGTCTTCAGGGGGCTCCGACTAAGTTGAGGCGGGTCTGACTCCCAGGTGGCGGAGATCATGCGTGCGCCACCCTGGGGAGCCTGTTGGACATTCGCCCCCCTTCATAGCAATCCATGGCAATCCTCATCCTCCCTCTTGCAGGCACCCTGGAGGCCTCTCGAGGGCTTCTTTACGGCTTCCTGGGGGCCCCCTCGGAGGGATTGCTGGGGTCCCGCTCGATGTCTCGGGGCGGTGCTCCCCTGCCTGTTCGAGGCGCCCGTGCCGTGACATGTCGCTGGATTGATGTATCAAACGCTATGGCCCAGTCAAGCATTACAGCATTGTTCCGCCATCGCTGCTATTTCGTGCAACACTCATGCACCTCACGAGCATGAGGGAGTCCGCAGCGCCACGCCCATGACGAAAACCATTCCGTGAATTACGAACGCACTCGTCTCAACCTCCACGTATCAATCGCCGGCGAATCAACGAGGCCTTTATATTGTAATCAATCGGGAGCAGCGAAACAGGCCCGTAGTTTTCCGGAAGGGCCGTCTCCTTTTTTGGATTAAAAGCCATTTGGGCTCTCCTCTAAGACTCTGGAGTAGATTTTCGATTCTTCGGAAGAGCAAGCCATCACTATAACATCCGGTGTGCCACCGCCCCCCCCCCCCAGGCCACGGGGATGGCGAATCCAGTGGCCTTCGGCCCATCCCGCGACCGTGCCTGGGTCGTGGGTCGTGAGGGCTTCCCGGGGAGGCGTCCATGGGGCCTGCGGGCTGTCTCGGGGGCCACCACTTGGGCTGGGGGTGGAGTTCGGTAGCAAATCGTGGGAGCCTAGTCTACCCTCTTAATTATATTTTTAGCGTCGGTCAGCGTCGATTAGCGTTTGGGAGTCGATGAGATATCGCCGACCTAACGCCGGCTAGCGTCGATTAGGGTCGATTTCGCGTCGACTATCGTGAATTAGCGTCGATTCGCAAGAGCTTACAAGATGGTATTGGAGGCTCCCATGAGTTGCCACCGAAGGTGGGGGCGGGGGGCACGATCTGTGTCAAATCAAACCATGCGGGCAACCCGCGCGCGTCGGTCGCGCGCGCATGTCCAAATCCTCCCAAAATCGTTACCGTTGACAAATGGACACCGTCATCGTCATCGGCGTGATCAGCATCGGCGCCATCTTTGAGGGCGGAGGGTTTCAGATGGCATGATGAGCGATTGGTCCGTGAAACCCTCGAGGCCTTTCGCGGCGCGCGCTGTATCATCCAGTCCGCGCGGCCGCTCCCGTGAGGTCTGGATCGATATTCGCGCGGCGACGCTCCGATGTAAGGTCCGACGTGCATCCGACGTAATCCGACGGAGGAAGCGGAGGAGGAGAGGAGGAGGAGGAGGAGGAGGAGGAGGAGGAGGAGGAGGAGGAGGAGGAGGAGGAGGAGGAGGAGGAGGAGGAGGAGGAGGAGGAGGAGGAGGAGGAGGAGGAGGAGGAGAGTCCGAGGTGAACCCGACGTAAGGCCGACGTGGGTCCGATGTAAATTTGGCCCCCGGCTACCGCCGCGCGAGGTCTCCAGGATCTTCCTCACAAGTTGGTGTCACTGGCAGAGCCCTGCCCCCTCTTCCGCCTGGTCGGCTGCACGTAGGAGCGACCTCTCGGTGCACGGCTTTCGGGGGGTGTTTCGGGGCGAAGCCCAAGCCCGCAGGCTGTTGCTGTCGCGCCGAACGCAACGGCTGGCAGGCCGCCCGCCAAAGATTACTCTAGTTCAGGGCCACCCTTATCCCGCAAGGTCCGTCGCGTCCAGCGGCCACCGCTGCAGGCCATGGGCACCGCCGCCCACCCCGCCCTCCACGCCCTCCTCGCCATCGTGCTCATGGCGACGACGTGGCTGCTCACGGACGCGGCTGCAAAGGTAAAGAGTAAAGAGCAAAACGGCAGAACGGAGAATTAGTTGAGGGGCTGAGGTGGCCCGGCATTGATTCGGGCCAGCCGAAGTGTAATGGCGCCCAGCCCCTGTCAGCCAAAAAGGTGTGCGACCGAAAAACGTGTGACCGAACATGGGTCGAAATGGTGACCGAAAGTTTAGTGCGACCGAACTTGGGACCGAAATCGACAATCGTGTTGGCTTCGAACCAAGCATGCCGGTCGCTCTCGGGCGCGGTCGGGACATTTCGGGCGCCAGTTTCGGCCACACTCGGGCAGATTTTCGAGCATCGTTTCGATCATTGCACCTCAGTGATAGAGGCGAGGGTACGTGAGAAACGGGGGAGCAAGGGGCCCCCTCCCTCCTCATCCTCCTGCTCCCTCCTCCCTCCTCCTCCTCCTCCGCCTCCTCCTCCTCCTCCTCCTCTTCCTCCTCCTCGGTGAGATATGGGGGAGCAACGGGGCCCCCCGTCCCCCCCCGGCTGGGCGCGGCTCGGAGATCTGGCCAATTTTTCTCGATCCCAGCAGGGCTCCGAGGGCCGATTCTGAGCGTGTTTGCCTTCACCCTGCCCACGTGACCGTTTTTTCATGGCGCCAACATCGCAGCGCGGATTTCGAACGGAAGACGGTAGGATGGGGCTGGAGTGTCCTGGAGAGTTTCGTTCCGGATTTCTAGGTGAATTTCGTGCGGATTTTCTTTGGCCAGGAATGAAGATTAAACAACATCCACGCGAAATTTACTTTGTTTTTCGCTCGCCGTTTCGGGGTTTCGCATTGACAACAATCCGCGTAAAAATGCACTGCAGCACGTCTGCAAGGTCGGTGCAATGACGAGTTTGCCTTCACCCTGCCCTCGTGACCGTTTGGGGCTTCCCCATCTCAGACCCTCGGCCGCCTCCGACAGGAGTACAGCCTTCTTTCGGAGGTCCGCGCAGGTTTCTCGGATCGGCCATGGACCCCTTCCCGTCGCGTCGCCTCCGTCGGATTCCGTCACCGCTTCTGGCGTGCCGCGCGTGCCCGAGTAGAGGAGCGGTGACTGCAGGAATCCAGGCGGTCCTCCAAAAGTTTGTGCATGTACATCTGCTGGTCATTTAATCGCTTCCTTCACTCCGCCGGCCCATCTTGTATCACTGGTGCTATGTGTTGGCGTGTTCGTGGCGAGCGAGGAGGAGGAGGAGGAGGAGGAGGAGGAGGAGGAGGAGGAGGAGGAGGAGGAGGGAGAGAGAGGGAGGAGAGGAGGAGGGAGGGAGGCGGAGAGGGAGGAGGAGAGGAGGAGGAGGGAGGAGAGAGGAGGAGAGTAGGAGAGGGAGGAGAGAGGAGGAGAGGAGGAGGAGGGAGGAGAGGGAGGAGAGGGAGAGAGGGAGGATAGGGAGAGAGGGAGGAGAGGAGGGAGAGGAGGAGAGGGAGGAGAGGGAGGAGAGGGAGGAGAGGGAGGAGAGGGAGGAGAGGAGAGGGAGGAGAGGAGAGGATGAGGAGAGGGGGGAGGAGGGAGGAGAGGGGAGGGAGAGGAGGGGAGGAGAGAGGAGAGGGAGGAGAGGAGGAAGAGGGAGGAGAGGTCGAGGAGAGGGAGGAAGGGAGGAGAGGGAGGAGAGGGAGGAGAGAGAGGAGAGGAGAGGAGGAGAGGGAGGAGGAGGGAGGAGGGGGAGAGGGAGGAGGAGGAGAATGAAGAAGAGGGAGGAGAGGAGGAGAGGAAGGAGA